AGTTGCTGGGAAAGCTCAGCAGGTCTGGCAGCATCTGTGAAGAAAAATCAGAGTTAACATTTCGGGTCTGGTGGCCCTCCCTCAGAAGGAATGGTCACCGGTCCCAAAACGTTAACTCTGATTTTTTCTTCACAGGTGCTGCCAGACCTGCTGAGCTTTCCCAGCAACTTCTGTTTTTGTTCCTGATTTACAGCATCCGCAGTTCTTTTTGGGATTTTTTCTAAACGTAGATGTGGGTGATCAGCTGGAACGGCTAATGGACTAGTCATGTCCAGCAGTAACACAGGCAGAGATGAGGGTTTCAGGAGCAGCTGATCTGAAGGAGGGTTAGAGTTGCAAACCCTGGAGGAATAAAGTGCTGGCCAGTTTTAGATTTCCCATTGCTTTCAAACCTGTTTGGTTCCTCATTCCTTCAAAACTGCCATTTCTTTCTCCTCACCACTTGCTCATCTTCTCTGCCTTGGGACGCTATGTTCCCTTTAAAGGCAGTGCATAAATCGCTGCTCTCATTCCTTCCCAAATAGATCAGACTTACCAAACAGTGACTTAATGAACACAGTTGCCCGCGAATTCAAAGCAACCACCAATACTAACGCTGAACCCTCTGTCAGTTTAAAAAGGCAATCAGTGGCCTCATGTTGACCACATCCCGAACGGACTCGTGAACATAATGACTCTATGGTATAGCGATCAAGTGTTTCCACTGACTGTGAAAAGCAAAACAAGGCTGCCAAAAGTTTCATCACAAGAAACTTCTCAAAGAAAGTTTCCCTTTCACTGAGATCATCAGATTAATTTGCATGGCTGCATTCTTGGACTCAAAGAGTTATTGCATCTTTTCCTTGTGGCATTTGTACAACCTCAGTAGAAGCAGAATTTTCAGGTGTATTTTTACCCTGACCGGCCTTGGGTTATCACACCGGACTTTCTGCTCTCTAAAGAGGCGACATAGTCTATGGGTGGGTGAGGTACAGCATTGTAGGGAGGCTGGCAAGCAGGAGGAAGTATTTAAGTTTTCTGTTACAGCTAAGACAATCTGGCCCAGGTTAGGTGGCCAAGCGGGCAACTACATTCATCAGTTCTTGTGCCACACAAAGGCAAATGAGAACAGAGAAATGCAACGAAACGAAACAAATGTCAGATCCAGCAGAATAATGGATTCTGGCCAATCTGTGTGGTGAGGACAGAGTAAGGGCAGGGCAAGGTGTGAGGCCATTCTGTTTCTGAGCAAGTAGCACTAAGTGGGAAGGGGCTGAATGGATTGCTGGGCAAGGGCGAGTTATGCCTGGGTAGTTCTTGAGAACTGCCTCCAAGTTTGCAATCTAGGAACAATTCATGTCTTTCTGCTAGTCATGTCAGGCTGTTAAACAGAAGAAAAGACATCAAGGTGCAAAACCTTCAAATCCCCGTCTTTTTGAAACAGTATTTCCTCTCAAACTTGTGACCTCCAACGCAGGGAAGAACAAAGGTTTATGGGAGCACCATCCTCTTTAAACAAACCTCCAAAAGCTTTTCTAGGTAACAGCTGGGTTAGGCGCCTAGAATTCTCATACCTAACAGGGCTGTGGAAGCACTTTTGCTACATGGTTTAAGGTGGTTTCTCAGCAACACCTTCTCAAGGGGCAACCAGGAATGAACAATAAATGTCAGCCTTGCCAACAAAACCTATGTCCCACAGATAATTTATACACAGACATAAATTGGTAAATGCTTGTGAAATAATCATTGCTCCTAACTGGTATGCCTTACCAATTAATGAATAAACTGTTAGTGGGCTGCAAAAAGACAATTAGCCTGCTGAGCTTCGAAGGGGACATTGTATAATCTCTATGCCCTATATTGTGTGTAAAAACATATCTGCACATTTATGGAATCACGTAAAAACAGGGTAATGTAACAGTTTTGGCAACTTCCTTTTTAAATGAGGAAAATATTTAGCCCAGTATGTAATAAGCTGTTTAGAATAATTACATTTGTACAATCCCAGAAATTTTTGTCATAATTGTTAGTGGACAAAGACTTAATTAGCACTGATGAAATGGTTTGGTCTGCTTTTTTATACAGATGTTAATGGATTAATGCTTGTGTTAAAATAACACAAAGAGGAATGTCTTGCAAATACACTAAGAATTTGTCCACTAATATCACCAGCAGTGATTCTAGGTACAATTCTTTTACTGTGTGTAATAGAATATGATACAAGTAATGACTTAGAGACATACCTGAAAAGTTTCTTGTAGCGAGCATTGTAGTCAGAATTGCACCCTGAATGAGAAAAGAACAGCTAGCAAACCTGTTACTTTCTACTTGCACATTTGAACCACTTACCACAAATAAGGATCTTGTTAGGATGTGACAGAACAAACAAAAATCAGCCCTTAACTGGAGTCAATCGAAACTAGTCAATGTCTGGGGAGAAAGTATTAGTTTAACAACTAAGCTGTTGGAGGAATTTTAAAATTCCCATCAGCAATGGCTTGGTGAGTAGCACTTACTTTCCAGAGTTTGAAAGCAGTGAGTTTGGTTATACATTTTATATCTTAGAACCTCACATAAATGGTATGTGTGTGTGTAACTGATTTTATTCACAATGCTTTGAACTGTCTGCTTCGAGTTTTAACTCAGGCTTCCAGCTTTTTCTACAGCTTCGTTTTCTTTTCTGTGATTCTACACTCAGTCTAAACTTTTCTGGCGCTGTGAGCATCAATAGTAAACAGGCTCACATTATTCAACAAAGAACAATTAAACCATCAAAAAACTCCAGTTCAAACGCTTTCCAGAGGCATGTGCAAATAATCTAGATTGACCAACCCCAGTGCAACACAAAAAGCACTGCACTGTTGAAGAGCTGTCTATTAGGATCAGGGGACTTAAAAGTACCACAACACTATTTTGAAGTGGAGCAGGGGAGATTTCCCTATTATTCTAGCCAACATTTATCAAAATGAAAACTGGTACAAATGGACTGCCATATTTCCCGCATTGCAAGTGTCAATGCTTGAAAAAGTATGTTATTAGCTGCAAATCAGATTGGAATATCCCTGAGTTTTTGCAAGTCACCTTATAAATGCAAGTTCTTCAATACTAACCAGAAGCCTGAGCTGGAACTAATTAAAGAGTTTCACTCTACTTTTGAAAAAAAGAAATCAAATAATTTTTCAATCTAATATCCTATTCCAAATCCTGTATTTTCAATCTTGCAGATGATATTTTATCAGACTGTGGGTGGGAAGACCGAATGGAGAAGTGCCAAACCACAGAACATAATGGGCATGTTTCCTCATTGATAGGCAGTTTGCGTATGAGAAAATGACTATTTTCCCTCCAGCCTTTTCCTGCAGTCATGCACGTTCCTAATTGTTACAGTGGGTATATGAGTACTTCAATTGTTAGAGGACGTTGGAGTTGCTTAAAAGGCACTATAAGAGATTTGCATTTATCGAATTTGATACAGCTCCTGACAATCTTATGGAGGGATTAATATGTTGTGCTTCCTCCTCTAGATGGCAGGTTATTGTTGTTTTACCCGTGCCCCGAAATCTCGCACAGCATGCTTGTTGCTGGGAAGAGGCACTGCGATGAAGATATCATCTACCTGTCTTGTAGATCCCACAAAAAATCCCAGGAAACCTGAAACGCTGGTTAGCAATACATCTACCAAACAAAAATGCCTGGGTTTCAGGTTATTTGAATCATATTCCCTCATTTGATGACACATTTAAATACCTTTATAATGATCCGCTCCTTCATCTTCTGGTGTTTCCTATGATCTCATGGATATAGTACAACCTTGGGCTTACCTTGAGCTTTCTTCTGGCATTGAACTTCCTCAAACATTCAACAGTTTCCTGACGGTGCATCATTGATGCTACAGTGGAACGTTGCTGAAAAAATATCAAGAGATATCTAGTGTTATTTGGGCCAGTATACATCAAAATAATCATCGATTAAAACAGAAAATGTCAAGTCCTATTGGACTTGAAACATAAACCGTTTCTCATTCCTCTGATGCTGCCAGACCTACTGAGTTTTTTTTTCCAGCACTTCCTGTTTTCTCTTCAAATTTCCAGCATCAGCAGTATTTTCTTTCTATGTCAGTGTTTATGTGACCAATCCATCACAATCAATGGACCCAATTCAGAACATTTTGACAACTATTTGTAATCACCAATGCAACTGAAGGTGTGTCCAGCACTGTATATTTGAAACAAACTACAGGGACACTGGAGAAACTCAGTAGGTCTGGCAGCACTTATGGAGAGAGAAGCAGAGATGATACTTCGAGTCCAGACTCTTCATAACTACATCTTTAAGTTTTGCATCCAAAAGGCAGCGTTTGTTGCCCATCCCTAGTTGCTCTTGAGAAAGTGGTGGTGAGCTGCCTTCTTGAACTGATGAAGTCCATGGGGTGCAGCGCCACCCGACATTGCTTTTAGGGAGCGTGTTCCAGGTCGTTGGCCAAGCAAGAGTGTGGGATCAGTGATAAAGGCTCCACATTTTTGTTAACTGGAAGACGATTTACTCCAAAGAGGTCTTCGTTGGCCCAAACTTGAAAACATGAAGGACAGTTGTAGGAAAGATGTTGTTAAACTGGATGGGCTTCAGAAAAGATGTACAAGGATGTTGCTAGGGTTGGAGAGTTTGAGCCATAGGCAGAGGCTGAATAGGCTGGGGCTATTTTCCCTGGAGCGTCGGAGGCTGAGGGGTGACCTCATAGAGGTTTTTAAAATCATGAGGGGCATGGATAAAGTGAATAGCCAAGGCCTTTTTCTTTTTACCAGGGTGGGAAAGTCAGAGGTTTAAGGTGAGAGGAGAAAGATTTAAAAGGGACCTAAGGGGGAACTTTTTCACACAGAGGGTGGTGCATGTATGAAATGAGCTGCCAGAGGAGGTGGTAGAGGTGGGTGGAATCACAGCATATAAAAGGCATCTGGATGGGTACACGAATAGGAAGGGTTTAGAGGGATATGGGCCAAATGTTAACAAATGGAACTAAATTAAATTAGGATATCTGGTCGGCATGGACGAGTTGGGCCAAAGGGTCTGTTTCCATGCTGTACATCTTTATGTCTCTAATGACATTAGCCACAGTAAAGGGTCAGTAACAATGCAAAATTAAAGTAGGTGCAAAAAAAATTCACAATTTTAAATGTAAAAGCTGTATCTGGTACTTACGCAAACCCATGGGTGTTTCAGGGCCTCTGTTGCAGTTATCCTTTTGGCTGGATTGATGGTCAGCATCTGATTGATCAGATTTTTGGCTTCTGGGGTGACCGTATCCCACTCTGGAGAGGGAAACTAGGAAAGAAATGGAAAATAATGGAATGTGTGTCATTTCCTGTTCATTTTTAGTGACGTTCTTGATACAAAGTCATGGACAAAAAGTGACAACGCATCACATGCATAAGTTGAAATTGAATGATCGTGGATAACCCAGGAGATATTACTGCACAGTTGATCGATTGAACTAATGTCAGAATAGTGAGGTAGAGAGTTCAGCACAGCAATGGGCTGCAATATTCTCCTTCTCCCTCCGCCTTATATATTTGAAGGACTTGGGTTCAAACCCATCTGAACCGTTTGATTAGAAAATAGTGCCCAAAATTTGAATCTAGTTCAAACAGATTAAACCTCTCAACTGACCTGATATGCAAATTCCTCTACTCTTGGTGAGCATGTTGGTGAAGTCTTTGCCTGATGGGTCCTTGTTTCTAATGAGTGAAGGAAGTGAGAAACGAGGCAAGACAAAAGGTTTGAGGAGGGGGGTATAGGTCAAACTGAGAGACCATTGTGCTCCACCTACAGAAGCTATTGGGTGGTTCACAATCAAACTCCTTGGACTGCACAGTACTGGCTGCCCAGGAATGTGGGAGTGTAGTGGAGATAGATCCCTGGAATGCAGTGTCCTGAAGTGTGGTGGAGGCAAGCTGACTTGGAAATACATCACCGTTCCTTCACTGTTGCTGGGTCAAAATTCTGGAATTCCCTCCCTAATAGCATTGTGGGTCAACCCACAGCAGGAGGACTGCAGCGGTTCAAGGAGGCAGCTCACCACCATCTTCTCAAGGGCAACTAGGGATGGGCAATAAACACTGGCCCAGCCAGCGACACCCACATTCCCACAAACGAATAGAGAAAAAAAAGTTCAACTGGGGCACTCAAGACAGCATTAACTGATTATTTAAACTAAAACGATGTATAGGGTTCCAGGGAGATTGGCATAAAACAAAAAACGCTTGGAGAGTTAGTGCAAACATGATGGACTGAATGGCCTCATTATGCTCTGTAATAATTCTGTGATTCCAACACGGGCCAATAGTTAGCATGCTCACTGATTGTGAAACTGGAGAATGGTTCAAAGTTGAGGAGGGGAGAAATGGACAGGCAATTCTTTGTGACATGGAGAAAGAGACAGGTGACAGAAACATTTTGCTCTTGTCAAATTCGAATTAAATATGTGTCTTTATCTAGTGTGGCTATTTCTTCATAAAAACTGAAAGAACTGTGGATGCTGTAAATCAGAGACAAAAACAGAGAGTTAAACGTTTCAGGTCGATTCTGAGGAAGGGTCACTGGACCTGAAACGTTAACTCTGATTTCTCTCCACAGATGCTGCCAGCCCTGCTGAGCTTTTCCTGCAATTTCTGTTTGCATCTCTGGCTATTTCTTCACATTTTTTCTCCCAAGTGCTGTTGTCGGCTTACCAGCTGCTGCTGCTCAGAGAAAACATTAGAATGGATCTGCTGCCAAAGACATTGGGTACATTCATATGACTTTGCTGGATTGGCACTTTAACCCACTTCTGCAATAATAGTACCTGCCTTACAGCAACAGACAGAAGATCGCACAAGTGTGCTAAACATCATTCGTTGATTTCATCTACAGTCATTTTTAGATTTGTGCATACATTTTAAATTTTTTGTCAGAATGCACAATAGGAGAAAATAATTTCTGTTCCTTCGCTTTGCTTTTGAAGCCTCTGTCCAGCTTGACCTTTCCCTCTGAGCATCAGTTTCACCAACAGCTAAAAGCCTTTGCGTTTGCCTCTTTGGGATTTTTCAGATTGCAGCAAAAATTCCACCGAACATCTTGACGTCCTGACGGAATTTGGAATGATTTGAGAGCAACGGGCCAAGGTGAGAGAGTGCTCACTGAAGGACTTTGTCCATCTGTCTGTCAGTGATGAGCTGACCCTATGAGAAGTGAAAGCACAAGAGTGCTACAGTGACGCCTCATTCACAAGTTCGCTATTCCCTGACAGAAAGTTGAAAATCCAGTGGGAGTGCAGTGGCGCAGCACTGCAACGCGCTCCTCGATTACAGATCAATAGCTAGAGGTTGCTCTTATTCGTAAAAATAACCCTTGGACTGGTTTTCCCCTTTTACTATATAGATTCTTTACACATAATAACTTATCATTAACTAAAAATGAGTTGGCGAAACATTTACAAGGCCAGTAAGACAAAGTCCTGGGTAAAGCAGCATTGCACTGGGGTGAAAAAGTACAGCACTCGAAATGTTAATCAGATAAAAGAGTGAGAGAGGGTAAATCACAAGAGAATCCAAAGATGTGCCATGCTAAATTGCCCTATAGAGTCCAGCGATGTGCAGCTTAAGCTCGGGGGCCAGGTCTGGGTGGGATGTTCTTCCAAGTGTAGGTGCAGACTTTATGGGCCAAATGGCCTCTTTCCACACTGTAGGGATTCTAAGTTGCCTTGTGGAGATATTGGGTCTTTCTCCCATTCCATGTGGAATTTCAACTTTAACGCTGACCTCACTCTCTGTGCACCTTCTCTGTAGCCGTAACATTGTATTCCTCACTCTGTTTTATTAGCCTTATGCACTTTGTACGGAATGATCTGTACTGCACACAAAACAAAACTATTCACTGTACGTAAATACATGTGACAATAATAAATCAAATCAAATCAAAGAACTGTGTGCACATCACATTACAGGAAACATTATCACTCTTAAGGAGATACTGAGGCAAGTACCAAAGGTGATTCCAGGTATAATGACTGTGTCGTGTAAGGAAACTGGTGAAGTTTGGCTCATTTTCCTTATGAAAACTTTAAGAATGATCCAGCAATAGTTTTTTCAGACAATGACAAAGCTGCCACAGAACAACAGTTAACAATAGGCAAAATATTTAAATACAGTTAAAAATTCAAATACTTTAGAAGGATTTTGCTAAGAGCAGTTGACTAGTGGAGGAGGTTACTGTACACGGTCTCTGAAGTAGGTTTAGAAGGTTCTAGACAGGGAATGATTGATGAGGTTGAGTGATGCTTTTTCACTTTAATGATATAGTCCTCTTACTGAGAAAAAGTATTAAAATTTACTGAATGACAGTCTAACTATTTGGGATTCAGAATGATTTATACAGTATTCCGTGTAATTTATAGCAAATGTTGAAGTAACCTCTCATTTTTTGCCATTCTAATTTGCTATTAATTCATCTTAATATACACTGCACAGATCAATTTTTTAAATAATCCTATTTGTACAGTATGTATCAGCTGAATACAATGTCAGATAATTTTAAACATGTATTTTTACTGCTTTGGAAAGGAATCTACTTTTTCTTGCCTCAAAACAACTGAAAAAGGGGCATTAATGATTATACATGGCACTTGCAAAGTCAGACAAATCATATGGTTGATGAAGAGTGACATTTTTCCAGTTTCCCATGGCAGAAGTGAATAATCTCAACACTTGCAGGCTGCTCAGTTTTGTTTTAAGTGACTTGACACTGGGGAAACAGATTCTAACAAACAAAAATTGAAACATGCACTGAAAAGGAATAGAGTCAACTCCTCGGTCTCACGTTTAGGAGAGTCGTGTGTGAAACTAAGGCCCACATTTTGAATTGAATTAATTAGTTTTATTGTCACATGTACTCAAATGAGTACAATTAGGTACAAAGGTACCTAGGTATGGATACTTTCCATTAAATTCTTAGGAAATAAAAATAATAGAGAAGTAAAGAAATAAATAGTTCAGCATTATAGGTCATAGGAATAAATTAGAAAAACAAAGAAGTGAAATGTTCAGAATATCAGTCTTTCCGATCCTGTCCATGCCAGCGCCCAGCCTCAAGGGAGACCCCCCCACTACATCGCCACCGCCTGCAGCAGACCCAACAATGTAGAAGTCACCCAGTTTAGGCACATTTTGTTGGGTTAATGGCACAAGATTACACCCTGGTTTGACAACCTTGTTCAGAACAACCTCATCAGCTAAGTGGGCAAATGTCACTTTAACACAGGTGGTGCCATTCTGAGGAATACTGTAAGAATAAGGCAGAGAGTGATCTTCATGCTGTGCCTCACGACACTATAGCTAACCTGGCAGGCACTTGGTGGCCCTTTGTGACGATGATAGTGACAGTAGAAAGACTGCAAGTAAAGCACATGGGACCTTGAGGTGCAAATCTTTTGACCTTAAATGACATATGGCATTAAAATCACTCATAGGAATGTTGGGTAGGGTGCAGGGATGAGGAGTTATGTGGAGTGACTGCAGAAGCTGGAATTATTCTAAAAACAATAAATTATTGAAAAATTTAATAGAAATGTACAAAATTATGAGGGTTTTGATAACAGTACATTTGGAGAAACTATTTTCACTGGGACTAGGAGTGGCAACTTGGAGACCTAATTAGATATTAGCAGAAGAACCAAGGTGTAGATGAAGAGAATTTTTTACACACAGCCAATTGCTAAGATCTGGAATGCATTTGATAGAGGGAGGCAGGTTCCATTCTAGGCAGATTCCAAGGAGAATTGGACAGCAACTTGAAAAGAGAAGCCAAAAATGCAAGAATACCCAGAGAAAGAGCAGGAGAGTGAATATAACTGAATAACTCGGTCAGAAGGGCAGCATTGGTTTTGATGGGCTGAACGGTGACCTTCTGTGCTTTATGATTCTCTGATGTCTCAGCACTAACACTATTCATTTTCTTGAGCTTTAACAATGGTGTGCCAAATTGTTTCAAAATGCGAGCAAAAATTCCATTCATAAAATTTTATTTTGAACCCACAGGGAGAAAGGACAATTGCCTTCAACTGGTAAGGCAGACTAAACAGCTTTATAACAATTTGACCCTGACGAGTTATAGTAAGCTAGACAGTTGCCACTTATATCATTTGCATGCTGCACATTTAAAATATGTTTTATTAATAACCATGAGATTTTATTTATGACAACAACTGTGATCAGCTTCTCTCCTGCTCCCAGATCAGTAATACAGGATTTTAAGATCCAAAAAATAATTTATGGTTCAATCAGATTAATAAACGCCAGTCTCAGAAGATAACACGATCAATTTGAAGTTGGCTTCTACTCACATCATAAGCACCAGCCTTAATTTGTTGATAAAGCTTATGCTGGTCCTCATCCCAGAAGGGAGGATAGCCGACTAATAATATGTAGAGAATGACGCCTGAAATAAATTACAAATGAATAGCAATGTGTGAGTATTAATCTGTCAGGCAGAACTCATCAAGTTACATCTTGCTGCCTCATTTTAGGTGTTTCTTCTCTGCCTTTCGTACTATTGAGAAGCACAGGCTGGGGCTGTACAGGTAAAGTATCCATGGTTCCATACAGTGAACTTGCCAAGAGCTGACGTGACTCACTGAATATGGCAGTAAGCGGTGAGGAATTTATTTTTCTCAGTTGAGTGGAACACTCGCGCCCAGAGAGATGGTGGAGATAGCGTCATTGAATAATTATAAGGGCAGAGATAGATAAAAAGCAAGTGACTGATAGGTAGGAATGTGGAGCTGAGGATCAGAGCAGTTACGAATGGCAGAGCAGACTAGAGGGGCCTATTCTGTATTAATGTGAGACTTTTTCTGTGTGGATATAAATTAAATCTCCTGCCCTGCTCTGAACAACACTGGAATTAATTCAGGGCTTCCAGTAAATTTTCAGATACGTTTTAACTAGCTTGTGAACCAACCTATCCTCAGTCTAGCTGCCAAAAACCCAGAGGACCATGGCGCTGCTTTGTTCATTAGAGACAGATGACTGGTGGTGGTTTAACCTGAGGGTCAACCTGAGGCGAGGGGAGAGGTTGAGAAGGAGTATCCTTCATGGCAACCTCATACAGTGTGGGAATTGAACCCACGCTGTTGGGATCACTCTGCATTGCAAACCCAGCCATCCAGCCAACTGAGCTAACCAACCCCTCAACCCAACACTCAAAGCTGCACGACAGCCTGTGGAAGTTACTGGTGACAGTCAGTTGTCCTCGAAAACTCATTGCCTCGAAACTCTTGTGGGTCATGTCCCAAATAGTTCCACTCACCGCACGCCCAGATGTCAACTGGCTTTCCATATGGATCCTTTCTCAAAACCTCTGGAGAGAGATATCCAGGAGTGCCTGCAAACCCTGTGGGAATTAAATATCCAGCTGTGATGTTCCGTTCCTTAACATAGATTCAACTGCTCAAAATCGCAACAAATCGGTCCCATGTCATTGAACTCGACACCAGAATTAAATTCATTTTTTCTTTGACTCACACCTATTGCTCTCCCTGAAAGTCAATGATCAGCACATCAAATAAAGACAAATAATTTGAGCTTTATCCAGTCAAGTTATTTGGCAATTATAGTGGATGAGATCATTATCAATGATGTCGTACAGTGAATGTTCTGTTGATTTTTTTTTATTCATTCATGGGATGAGGGCATCATTGGCTGGGCAGCATTTATTGTCCATCCCTAATTCCCCAGAGGGCAGTTCAGAGTCAACCACATTGCTGTGGAGTCACATGTAGACCAGACCAGGTAAGGATGGCAGTTTCCTTCCCCAAAGGACATTAGTGAACCAGGTGGGTTTTTCCTGACAATCGATTCACAGTCATCATTAGATGCTTAACTCCAGATATTTTGTTGAATTCAAATTCCACCATCTGCTGTGGTGGGATTTGAACCCAGGTCCCCAGAATACTACCCTGGTCTCTGCATTTACAGTCCAGCGATAATACCACTAGGCCATTGCCTCCTTTACTGTGTGGGTTCAGCTCATCAGAGAACATGGTAAAGTAAAGGTATTGAGACAGAACAGAATCTATCAGTGACCTGATACAAAAAATTCGGCAAAAGCATAGTTTCTGATAAACAGTGAATTTTGATTGAAGGATAAGTGTTGGCAAGGGCATCAGAGATAATTCTCCAAGAATGCCCTGAAATGGAATCATGAGATCTTTTATGTCCACTTACAATCATAGAAAACAGGGGCAAGAGTAGGCCATTCGGCCCTTCAAGCCTGCTCTACCATTCAATATGATCACAGCTGATCATCCAATTCGGTACCCTGTCCTGCTTTCTCCTCATGTCCTTTGATCCCTTTAGCCCCAAGAACAATATCGAACTCCCTCTTGAAAACGTTCAATGTTTTTGGCCTCAAATGTTTTCTGTGACAGAGGATTCCACAGGCTCGCCACTCTCTTGGCGAGGAAATCTCTCCTCACCTCAGTCCTAAATTGATACAGATGAAAAGTAGGTGTTGATGGTAGGTGTGAGTAGCAAGAAAAAGGTCAGCTGTGCTGACAGCAAACTCACGCAACATACTGATGGGAGGAGTGGGTGTCATCAAAATGGAGTCTAGTAGATGGGGACAGCGGATGTAATCAAAATGTAAAACAGCAATAGGGAGGTTCTTTTAACACCAGTACATTCTGGATTGTGATCTCTGCTGAAAGGACAGAGGAAGCAGATTTAATATTATCTGGATTGCCACACAAATTAGATAAAACCATGTCAGTGGGGAAAAAGTGGGTCATGAGAGGTGGGGTGGACACTGTGGGTAGAATGACCTCTTTGTGTTTTTAATACATCCTTTCATGGGATGCGAGCACCGCTGACTGGCCAGCATCTGTTTCCCATCCTATCTTGAATCCTTGAATTCTACTTGAATATGGGGACACGCACAGGGCTGTTAGACAGGGAGTTCTAGGACCAGCGTAGGGACAGTGATATCATTCCAGGGCAGGATGGTGTGCACTTTGGATGGAAACTTCCAGTTGGCGGTGCCCCTGAGTACCTGTTACCCTCGTCCTTTTTGTTAGTAGAAGTCAAGAGTTTAGAAGCTAAGGAGCCTTGATAAGTTGCTGCAGTGCACCTTGTAAACTGAACCCACAGCTTCCTCTATGCATTGGTAGTGGTGCAAGTTAATGCTGAAGGTGGTCATGCAGGGGCTGTTTTACCCTGAATGGTGTCCACTTCTTGATTGTTGTTGGAGCTGCACTCATCCAGGCAAGTGGAGAGTATTCCATCATACCCTTAACTTGTTCCTTGTAGGACAGGCTTTGGGGAGTAGGATTCCTAATGTCAGAACCCCTCTTTTAGCTACGATTTTTACTTGACTGTTTCAGTTTAACTTCTGGTCCATGGTAACCCACAGCATGTTGATAATGGGGTACTTAGCGAACATAATGCTAAGTGCTCTGTAAAAATCTATAATGATGACTGCTGAGATGATTAAACGATCAGAAATGAAAAACGAAGGAGAGAGGCAGACTTTGTTTTAGAAACTGGATACCCTCCGTCCCCAAATGACAGAAACCAGGGTGATGGGTGAGTCCCCATGTGGTGAGTACTCAGATGCAGGTAGAATGCAGGACAGTAGCTGGAGATTGAACCTGGATATATCGCAGTATTGACAGAGATCCGGAAAAGATTGGGAAACATGAGTAGGTTTGGAGGATCGAGATAAACTGGGTGGGGGAAGGAGAGGGAGGTCTCCAAGCAGTGCACTAGCAATCCAGAGGCCGAAGCAAATGCTCTGGGAATATAGGTTCAAATCCCAACATGGCAGCTAGTGGAATTAAAATTCAATGAATAAATCTGGAATCAAAAGCTATTCTCAGTGATGGTGACCTATCACTGATTGTTGTAAAAAACTGTTTCACACTATGTCCTTCAGGGAAGCAAGTAGACCAGCTTTACTAAGTCTGACCTACTGAGACTCCAGATCCACAGCAATATTAACTTAGGCCTGTGATTTGGCCTAACAAGTCATTCCGTTCAGGAGCAATTATTGATGACTATGGTGGCTTGCTCTGAGCAGCTCCGTGGTGCAGGACTCTGCTCTACGGTCTGTTCCCCAGGATGCACACCGAGACAAACATCAACTGCACCTGAAGAACCATCAACTCAGTGAGAGGTGCTCTTTGGTCTGCCCGAAACTTGTTGGTTTTCCAGTGTAAGGAGTTGACCCCGACCGAATGTTGCAGACTGGCACATTCCAAGGTGCAGGAATCCATGCTGAGGGATGCACCAAATATTGGAGCAGCTGCTGCCAAAGTACAGTGGGGAAAATCCACTGTCTGAGGTCTTTCAGCCAAAATTAATTGGATGTCTGTTCAATTTTCATACACTGCCAGTGCCTCAATTATATGTAAATATAATCTTGCAAAAGTTAAGAGATGCCTTTGGTTTGTTTGTTGAATAGAGAGTCAAACTCAAATGTTTGTTTGGTTCCTTAATATGCTACTGTACAGAATTGAACTGTGTTTGTGACTATGCATATGTATAAACATATTTTTTATGAATAAAGTGTTTTTGGAAATTAAAAAATGGATGAATAACAAATGCTGGCCTTGCTAGCGACATCCCATGAAGAAAATAAAGAAACAAAAGATGAGATGACAGAACGCATTCTGTTCCCATTTTAAAGTGAGAAAGCTGTGTAACATATACCCAAGCCTCGCAGAGCAGGCAAGTTGCAGGTTCAAATCTTGCTCTTCAGTCTGGGATGAAATACAGAGAAGCAAGAGTTTTTGCAGGAAATCTCCTCATTGTCTGCTTCAACTTGGGTCTCGAATCACCAGAGGCCCTGTGGAAAGTGCTGGTCAATTGGCAGAATCAATTGTAGGTATACCACTCTGCTGGCATGGTATAGGGTCTCTACATTGTGCTCCCATGGAGGTAGAGGGCAGAATCAATTAACCTATACCTGTGCAGTCCAGTAACCTTTACTGCAAATAGCTCATGGACTCTTGGATTGGGTTTTTATCTGCAAACACCTCATGTTCACACAGCCTGCTGCGAAAACTCTAACTTGACTTATACACAAGCTGAGCTACAGGAGAGACTACCGTACGTGTGACTGTATTCCAGGATTCGTCGATGCGTTTAAAGAATGTGTGGAAATACATGGATGGTGATAGTTGTAAGAAAGCTGAGAGTCAAGGTATCAGAACAAGAGGCATAACGGGCTGAATGGCCACTAGGTGGTATTATTGCTAGACTATTAACTCAGAAACTCAACTGATATTCTGGGGACCCCAGTTCAAATCCCACTGTGGCAGATGGTGGAATTTAATTTCAATAAAGAATCTGGAATCAAGTATCAAATGATGATCATGAATCAGTTGCCAACTGTCAGCAAAACCCATTTGGTTCACTAATGCTCTTTAGGGAAGGAAGCTGCTGGTCTGGGCTACACATGACTCCAGACCTACAAAAATGTGGCTGCAATTAGGGATGGGCAATAAACACTGGCTTTAACCAGGGACATCCACATCCCGTGAATGAACTAAAGAAAATTTTGAGTCTGAATGTATATTGTAGTGCATTCAGAAAGTTGAAAGAAGAAAGCTTGAAACACAAGGTCAAGTAAAGGTCTCAAGATTCTATGGCAATGCAAGAATTGGACACTTCGTAATCTTGGATTATTATTGTAAACCCTTTAAACTTGCCCATTACCTGTGAAAGCTAAAAGTGTCAATCTATGATCGGTGCACACAAAAGTAATGGGCCATTATGCTGACAGGTAATGAGTAATAACCAGATTATGTGCCCACAGCTTTACAGAAGTCATTAAAGATTAATTAAATCCATTTAGAAATAAGTGTGAGAAACTAGTGACAGAGTCAGACAGATGCTTTGGATTTAATGTTCAAAGTGGCAGCTGAGCATGAGCTGCCCTTGACCTGCAGATAGCTCAACATTGTCAAACCACAGTGGTAAATAAACAGAAATACAAATCATGCACTTCAAGGCATTTTGGTGGAATATGCCGGGAGAAACAGCTTCCACTGGCAATAATGCCAGTAACTACAATAACAAAGATTTTCAGTGATTGCTAAAAGAATTGGGAGACAGAGAAATAATGAGGAGCTGTTTTTGTACACAGTGAATAATGATCTGAAATGCACTGCCTTTAGGATGGATCCAAAGGGAACTGGATAGATGTCTGGCAGAGAGAAACAGTGACCCTGTTCTGGGAAAGGCAAGACCATGGGTCTAATTGGATAGTCTTTATGAGGAGTCAGCCCACCAGATAATCTCCTTCCAATGCCTCGAGCAGACTGTCTGAACTCTGGGGATCCAGGTTTGAATCCTGCCATGGCAGATGGTGGAACTTGAATTCAATTCAAAACA